GTTCCAAACCATCTTCTTGGGATCAAAAACCATTTTGGGCTCCAAAACTTTTCTTGGGTCAAAAACCATCCCCAAGGAGACCCCCCAAGACCCCTGGTGAGGATCAAAACTCCCTAAAAAAGAGTGAAAATCCCAAATAAAGAGTGAAAATCCCAAATAAAGAGTGAAAATCCCCAAAAAGGGGGAAGATCCCACTTGAGGAGGAATCAGACTCCAAAAAGCACCAAAAAATTGGAATAAATGGGGAAATGGTCAAAAAATCCCACAAAAAAAAATCTGAAATCCTTGGGCCAAAATCATCTGCTTGTGTCAAAATCTGTCTTGGGCTCAAAACCATCTTGGGTCAAAAACCATTTTGGGTTAAAAACCATTTTGGGTTAAAAATCACCTCCTGGTGCTCCTAAACCACCTCCTAGGGATCCTAAATCATCCTCTGGTGCCCCTAAACCATCTCCTGGTGTTCCTAAACCACCTCCTGGTGTTCCTAAACCACCTCCTAGGGCTCCTAAACCACCTCCTAGGGCTCCTAAACCATCTCCTGGTGCTCCTAAACCATCTCATGGTGCTCCTAAATCATCTCTTGGTGCTCCTAAACCATCTCCTGGTGTTCCTAAACCACCTCCTGGTGTTCCCAAACCACCTCCTAGGGCTCCTAAACCATCTCCTGGTGCTCCTAAACAATCTCCTGGTGCTCCTAAACCATCTCCTGGTGCTCCTAAACCATCTCCTGGTGCTCCTAAACCATCTCCTGGTGTTCCCAAACCACCTCCTAGGGATCCTAAATCATCCTCTGGTGCCCCTAAACCATCTCCTGGTGTTCCTAAGCCACCTCCTAGGGATCCTAAACCATCTCCTGGTGCTCCTAAACCATCTCCTGGTGCTCCAAAAACATCTCCTAGGGCTCCTAAATCATCCTCTGGTGCCCCTAAACCACCTCCTGGTGTTCCTAAACCATCTCCTGGTGCTCCTAAACCATCTCTAGGGGTCCTAAACCATCTCATGGTGTTCCTAAACCACCTCCTGGTGCTCCTAAACCATCTCCTCGTTCCCCTAAATCATCTCATGGTGCTCCTAAACCGTCTCCTAGGGATCCTAAACCATCTCATGGTGCCCCTAAACCACCTCCTAGGGCTCCTAAACCATCTCCTTGGGTCCAAAACCATCTCCTAGGGCTCCTAAACCATCTCTGTGGGTCAAACCCCCCTGATTGGGGGTCCAGAGCCTTCTCCTGACGGCCCCCATGGATGAATTTGGGGGTTCGGCGGCGGGACCCTCACCCTGGGGCTCCTAAACCCGGACATTCCGCAGCAGGAGGGACCCCAGGGGCCTTCTCATCACCTCCACAGGTGCCACCACCGCAGCCCCGGCGCCGCCCCTTCCCCATCCCCAGCACCCTCCGAGCGCCCGGAGGCGCCGAGGGCGGCGGGATCCGCTGGGCTCCGAGGCGGCCCCGGGCCCGGCGGCGCCGCCGCGGCCGTTCCCGTGCGCTCAGTGCGGGAAATGCTTCGGCCGCCTCACGCACCTCAGAACCCACGAGCGGACGCACACGGGGGTGAAGCCGTACGGCTGCGGCGCCTGCGGCAAACGCTTCGGCCACCTGTCCACGCTCACCACGCACCGGCGGCTGCACACGGGCGAGCGGCCCTACGGCTGCGGCCACTGCGGCAAGAGCTTCACCAACCCCTCGGACCTCAACAAGCACCGGCGCTCGCACACGGGCGAGCGGCCGTACCCGTGCCCGGCCTGCGGCAAGCGCTTCAGCCAGCAGTCCAACCTGACCATGCACCGCCGCAGCCACACCCAGGAGCGGCCCTACCCCTGCCGCACCTGCGCCAAGAGCTTCAAGTACCTGGCGGACCTGACGGTGCACGAGCGCTCGCACACGGGCGAGCGGCCCTTCCCCTGCGGCCACTGCGGCAAGAGCTTCAGCAACAAGTCCTCGCTGGCCCGGCACACGCGGATCCACGCCCGGGCGGCGGCCAGGGACAAGTGAGGGCGGCCTGGGGGGGGGGTTGGTGGCCGTGGTGGGGGGAGCTTTGGGCTCCGGGTCTTGGCTCGCTGCTCCTGGAGACGGAAGCCGCGTCCCCCAGGAGCTGGTGGCCCCAGGAGTGGCGTGAGGTGGCTCAAACATGGATGAGGATGGACGTGAGCTGGTGTTTGATGTGTGCCGTGACCTGGTGGCTCCGTGACCCCATTCCCTGCTCCCGGAGATCCAGGAGGGATGGTGGGATGTCCCCCATCACCTGGTGGCTCCGTGATCCCATTCCCTGCTCCCGGAGATCCAGGAGGGATGGTGGGATGTCCCCCATGACCTGGTGGCTCCCTGATCCCATTCCCAGAGTTCCAACACCAGTGGTGGGATGTGCCCCATCACCTGGTGGCTCCGTGATCCCATTCCCTGCTCCTGGAGATCCAGGAGGGATGGTGGGATGTCCCCCATCACCTGGTGGCTCCCTGATCCCATTCCCTGCTCCCCGAGGTCCAGCAGGGGTGGGACTGATGTCCCCCAGGAGCTGGTGGCCCCAGGGCTGTCCTGAGGTGGCTCAGACGTGGGTGAGGATGGACGTGAGCTGCTCTTTGATGTCCCCCGTGACCTGGTGGCTCCGTGATCCCATTGCCCCAAGAAATTCGGGGTCTGCCCCCCGGGAATTTCAGGGTATCCCCAAATTCCCGCTCCCCCCCATCTCCCTGGACCCCCCTCAGAATTCCAGGACCCCCAACCTCTCTCTCTCTCCCAAGCCTGGATTGTCCCAGAGACCCCCCCCAAATCCTGGACATCCTCCCCGACACTGGAATGGGGTTTCTTCCTTGAATTTTGGGATTTTTTTCTTTTCCCCTCCCGAGTTCCCCAGGGACACCCCACCCCCAAGATTCCTTTGCATCCCTTATTTTGGCTTTTTTCCCCCACATTTCCTCATATTCCCGATTCCTCTATTTTCTCTCATATCCCTTCGCTTCCAAAATCCCTTTTCGGCAGAAAATGGGAAATTCAGATGGAAAACTCCACGTTTTCCTGAATTGTTGCTGAGTGGTTTCGGACAGGGATGAAGGTTCTGTCACAAAAACCAAAAATCCGGGAGAAAAACCAACCCCCAGCGATTTTCCGAGATTCCACGTCGCTGCCGGAGGGTTATTTTGGGGGAGAAAAATGGGAAATTTAACTGGAAAAGGCCACGTTTTTCGGCGGTTTCGGTCAGGAGTGAAGGTTCTGCCATGAAAATCAGAAAGATTGGAAAAAAAGCCCAACAAAGGCAGCAATTTTCCTGATTTTCGTGGTGGTGCTTGAGGGGATTTTGGGGAAAAAACAGGAAATTCCAGCAGTTTTCCCAGCGTTGTTCCAGACAGGGATGGAGGTCACACCACCAAACCGAAAAAAAAAAAATCAGGAAAAAAAAAATCCCCGAAACCCAAGGGCTCTCCTGGGTTTCGCGGTGGCGTCGAATTTTCGGGGAGCAAAACCAAACCCTGGAAAATCGCGTCTCCCTGCATTTTGGGGCGAACTTTATGCCGTAAACTCTGAGAATACGGGAAAACCTCTCGGGCGGCCGAGCCTTTCCATGGATTTTCGGGGTTTTTTTGCTTTTTTTGTGGCCGTCCTCAGCTGGGGCACGGCGGCAGCTCGGCGAGGGGGCGGCAGCGCTCCAGGCCGGCTCGGGCTCCGGTGACCGCCCGGCTCCGAGCCCAGCCGGTGAGGAGCGCCCGGTGCCGGTAACCGGAGCGGAATTCCCGGGTGAGCAGCGCCGAGAAGGGGACGCGGAGCTCACGCCGGAGCCCGCGGAGAACCAGGGCACAGCGGGAGCGCGCCGGGAGCCGCTCGGTGACCCGGTGCACCCTCGACACGAACTCGCCCGCGCTGGCGCCTCCCACCCAGGGCACGGTGATGACTCGGCCCAAATCCCAACCCCCCGATTCCCGCAGAACCGGCGGAGCCGCCCGCAGCAGCCCCCGGGCGGCCGCCAGCGCCGGCAGCTCCGAGCTCCAGCCGTGCTCCACCTCCGTGGCCTCCTCCAGGGTGAAGGATCTCGAGGTCGCCTCGCAGCCCTCGTTGGTGGCCACGAGCTCGGCCAGCTCGACGCTCTCGGCGCTCTCCAGCGCGGCGCTGCCGTTGTAGGACACGTTGGTCACGGAGAGATCGGCCGGGCCCTGCCGCACCACCAGGATTTGGTACCACTTGTACCAGATCTCCTCGCCGTCCACGGCCACGAACAGCGCCTGGTGCTCCTTGGACGCTTTGCCCAGCCCGTGGCGGCTGCGGCCCACGAAGATGTCGGTGAGGGGACATCCCTCCACCGCGCCCTCGGCCGTGCTGCCGAACGACGCCTCCACCCAGCGCAGCGCCTCGAAGCCGCCGGGGTTCACCAGGAGGTGGAAGGAGAAGCTCCGCAGCTCCCGCCCGGCCCACGCGTACGAGCAGAAGGGGCCGCGCTCGGGGTCGAAGGAGCCGAGGTCGCAGCCGCGGGTCCCGGCTGAGCACACGCACTCGAGGCGGCCCGAGAGGCCGCTCCGGCTGCACACGGCGTCGGCGGGGAGCGAGCCCTGGAACGGCTCCCACCGCAACCACGAAGCGGCCGGCACCGAGCGGGAGCGGCGGGCTGGGAGCACGGCGGGAGCTGGAACGAGGAGAGCGATGGACTGGGATGGACTGGGAT